CCCCCCCCCCCCCAGCGACACGTAAGTGATGAAAAGATAGACTTTGTCAGATGGTAGTGTAAATTTTTGTCCCTAGTGTGCCAGGAGAGTAAGGTGAACCACCCCAGTGTGAAGGCAAAAAGGGCACGGGTGAGTGCTAGGCTTAAGTATAGTAGAATTCCGTACAAAAGCTTTTGCGTGAAGGATATTTTGCCAAAAGGAGTTTTTGAAAGCTCGGATCGAGGAGCAATAAGCAGCTTTCCGGTTTGTGTAAGGGGTCAGTCAAGACCGGCATGTTATAACCCAATCATTGGGAATAAATGTTACACTGCGCGACTAAACTAGTTTGGAGATATCCCAAGTAAAAATATATAATCACTGGCTCCTCAACTGGAGCTGTACACCAACTAAAACACTCACTGCTTCGTTTCAAACTATCGAATCCATTCTTTATTGGAAGTTGGTTATATTTATAACTATAAAGGTGCTTACTCTACAATTATATAAAATACTTATTCTATACTTATTGCTTATTGCAAAATAATATGCTTATTGGTAAGAATATACTTATGACCTAATTATGTATTATTGCTTATTGCAGAATAATATGCTTATTGGTAAGAACATACTTATGACTTAATTATGTATTATTGCTGGTGTAAGCAGTTCCGGGTTGGTGGCCGGCTAACTGCTTACTCTAGGCGGTTTTGTTGGTGCTTGCTGTGTTGCCGTTGCAGTAGGTGCTGTAGCTCCTCCCCTCTGGAATAAAGCGATGGCTACAATGATGTCATTGGGGCCGGAGCGAAGGAGTGCAGAATGGGTGGTTTTTCCTCTTTTCTGGATCTTCTTGTGGTGAGAACTGCTATTATTGCTATTGTAGCCAGTAGTAATATAGCAATGGATGCAGAGGTGAGGTGATGTCGGGCGGTTGTTTCAATTTTAAAACTTCGTAGTTTTGATTCTGTTTGGAAATTATATTCTTTGAGCATCTGAAGGTTTAGTACTTCGAACGTGGTGTTTGTCTGGATTTTACTAGGTGGTAGGGATGGAGTGATAATTTCGTCATAGAAGACTTTATGGTTGTCTTCATAAATTATGCCGTTTACTTCGACGTTGCAATTTTTGAAGTGCAACAGCGCCGTGCCGTGTACTTTGGTATCTTTAGTGCTGCAGCTTGATCTTATGGGCGTGATTGGGACATTAATGAATAAAATGAAGTTGGGTTCTGGAATGGATTCTATGCGTCCAACATCTTGAAGTGAGCAATTAGCTGATTCATTTCTCATGAGTCTGCCGATGCAATTAGAGTGTGCTGAGCTGGCCTGTGGCTTAGGTTGGGGACAGAAGTACGTGGTTTCTACTTTTGGGCAAGGTGCATTTAAATATTGTATGTTCTTTACATTGAAATTTACGTACGGCTTATTTACTATAAGATTAGTATTTATAATACGAAGTGGAACAATATGGTATAATGAATATTTTTCTGGTGATAAGTTGGGAATCCGTATGTTAAAAATAATGTTTGAGTTATTATAATATGCTTGTAAGCTTAAAAGTTCATACAATTGTTCAATTGATTCAATTTGTAGATCTTGCTTGCTTAGGCGGTTTTCAATTTCTTCTAGTTCGTTTGTTGATAGTAGGAACTTGGGTATTACATTGAGCCTGCTTAGTACTATTGCTTCGGCTATGTTTGATAAGTGATTGGTTAGTAAATCAATGTTTAAATTAATTTGATTGAGGTACTGGGTTTCGAAAAGAATATTTTCTTCCCGTTTAATTGTGTTTGCGGATTCCTCTAAGAATGTTTTTATAATATTTTGTTCTGTGTTGATATGGTCACAGATCTTGTTAAATCAATTTATTAGTTGAAAGTTTATTTCGTGTTGTACTTGTACTGCGTTTGTTACGTTATTCATGTTAGATATGAGGTATTCTATTTGATTGTTAATGTCTTGAGCATCTTGTGCGTCCATATTTCCGGTAATAAATTTAATAGCTGTACCTAAACCATCTATCAAACCTCTTCTATGTCTTTTTATGGGTGTCAGTGTAAGTAGTCTATTTTGTAGTGCTCTATGTTTTAATTTGGTTATGTTAATAGAGTCGGTGATCATTGCTGTTCGCTCGAATATCTTAAGAGTTTCTGAGATGTTACCAATGTTACCTTCGTACTCGTCGAGTTTGATCATATGGATGAGGTTAGAAAAGTTGGTTATGGTCCGAGATGGCCCTAGGCGTAATGGTAGCATTGTGCTGTCGTTTGTTAGGTTGTGTATTTCGATGACTTGTGCGGACACAAGCGATAGTCTGGAAAGTTATGGGATGGGTATTGAGGAGTGAGGAATGAAGTAAGAAGATTTTATGCATATATGTATATAATATATGTATGTATGTATATATATATATATATATATATATTTTTTTTTTTAATAATAGTATGAATTTATTTTATTTTATGTTTACTTTTATTGACCAACCAATCATATTCAGTGAAGGTTGGTCTCATCCATTTTGCTTGTGCGGCAATCATAT